AAATATTTTTTAAGAAAAGAATATTATAGTCTCACAAATAAAAATTATAAAGCCCCCAATATTTAAACTGATAATGATCATGAGCCAAGTGCAGTGATATACCTGTAGTCCCAGCTACTCAGGAAGCTGAGGCAGGAGGATCACTTGAGGACAGGTGTTCAAAGCCAGCACAGGCAACACAGAAAAACACTGTCTCAAGAAGAAGAAAGAAAATTACTATATTATTGGTTTCAGGTGTCTTAGGTAGAAATAATCATTCTTCACTTAGTTATAAGAAATACAGGAAAGCATCATTTTACTTTTTTTAATATTTATTTTTAGTTGTAGTTAGACACAATACCTTTATTTTATTTTTTTATTTTTATGTGGTGCTGAGGATTTGAACCCAGGGTCTCACATATGCTAGGTGAGCGCTCTAGACTGGGTCACAACCCCAGCCCGGTGTCATTTTAATACTAATGTCAAACAATATGTTTTAGGCTTATCAAGAAATGGAGGGGCTGGGGATGTGGCTCAAGCGGTAGTGCGCTCGCCTGGCATGCGTGCGGCCCGGGTTCGATCCTCAGCACCACATACAAAGATGTTGTATCTGCCGAGAACTAAAAAAAATAAATATTAAAAAAAAAAAGAAAATTTAAATCCCTGGCACCAAAAAAAAATGTTAAAAAAAAAAAAAAAGAAATGGAGCAAAGGATACTAATTTAACACACAGGTAAAACTCTAGTCCCAGTTGGAGAATCCAGGTAAGCTCTTCCGCAAACAGGAGCAATATGAGAGCCCTGGGAATCCCAGGAGTACGGGAGGAAGGTGGAAAAGGGACAGGAAGGAACTAGCCCTTGGTTCTACATTACAGTTCTCCTCGTTCATGGCATGGGCTGTACGTTGTATAGGATAATAAATCCCAAGAAGAGCATAGTGACAAATGGAAGAATTTTATTAAATCTACTTGTATCCAAAACTTAAACTCCTATGGGAAACGACAGTCTAGCAACAAAGRAAAACTGCATTGAACTACTTGTAAAACCCTCTCCTTAGAAAAGTCTCAATTGGGCTCCGGATGTGGCTCAAGTGGTAGCGTGCTCACCTGGCATGCGTGAGGCACWGGGTTTGATCCTCAGCACCACATAAAAGAAAATAAAGWTATTGTGTCCACCTAAAACTAAAAAATAAATATTTTTTTWAAAAAGTCTACAATATACTAAGATGTTATTTGAGATACCAGCCTAAAGCTTATTCTCTTGACACTTCCTATATTTCCTGTAACTATATTTCCACTAAATAAAAAATGTAGTTCTATTCCATTAAAATGTGAAGAAATATACACCCCAAAATGCTATTTTAGTGCACTACAATTGCCTCCTTTGATTTCAGGGCAGAGAGAGTTCTTAGGGAATAACAAATGTGGAAACCAGATCAACTTCAAAGCCTTTTTATCAGTAAGGAGACAAAAAACAAATAATAGTGAGCCAACATGAGTGTGYGGTAGCAGAAGGCAAAAGAACATGAAACACAATATGGTAACTGTGATCACAACAGAGGATAATGAGTCTAAGGGTTAATTAATATCACCTGACCATAAACATTCCCCAGAAAAACAAAGAGAGATTCCAAGCCCCACTCTAGGTTACTTACTGAATCAAAATCTGGAGGGAAGCAACTAAAACCTTCATTTTTAGCAAGTGCCCAAGAAAATCTTACAATTAAGCCAAGTTCAGAAAACAGTTTTAGCCCAACTAAAAGGCCCAGTTCATGCATTCATTTCAAATTGCACCTCATACCCACTCCAACCAGGCTGGACTACATGCAATCACCCAGCSGTGCAGCGGTGCCACGGCCTCTCGTCTTTGGGCCTTTGCAAGTGCTACTGCCTTAGCCCTTTCTTCACGTCATCAACAGGCTATCAGCCTGGACATCGTTTCTCCCAGGTCCTTCCTGGGCCCCCATGATTCTCCCATCATAGTCTCTAAAAATGTATGGTTACCTACCTAAGGAGAACTATACCAACTAACCTAATAAGACTAATGAGAGAGTACAGAAAGATCAGTAAGTTAAAATTGACATACTAAAATCAACCCAACACCTAGATGGTACACCCAAGTGACTATCAGGCAAGTGACTGGCACCCACAGAARGTAATCACACTGGAGTGTCAATTGATATTACTGGGAATGAGGAAATGGGGCTTCCAACAATGGGTACAGTGGCCACCAATGCACCCCTTCCTGTGAAGAAAAAGGGGAGGCTCACAAAGCCACWCTTAGCCAACAACTCCCAGGCTGACTGAATCCTTGAGTTTGTTACAGAGAATAACTAATATAAGGAGCTGGAGTGATAACATTCACTGAGCAGTAGAACCAATTCTTTGCAGAACTACTTCACAAATCCTCACATTCATTCATTCATATTCTGTCTCMCCCCACCCCCCTGTGCTCATGTTTATTTATATAAGGTGCCTGGGCACTATTTAGTATCAGGAGTCACTGTATCTATTTATTTGGTTTCCTTCATTGTCTGCTTCCCTTTGCTAAATAAAAGGAGCCTCACAACTGAAGTCAGGAACTGTGTTTTCTTCTCCCCTGTCACCTTAGCCCCCAGAACAGTACCTGAAACACAGTGCATTCTCAATAAATGGGCCAAAATTGACTGGGAAAGACCCCTTGCAGGGCAAGCAGGAGATGTTTGCCAGATGAAGCTCAGGCAACAGTATTAACAAAGGCACAAAGGCATGGAGCAGATGATCCAGCCACAGAAAAGTCAGTAAGCATTGCTGGGAAACGATGTGATGTGCAGTGCTCAAGTCTGGATCTCAAATGTGTCCCAAAGGTCCATGTGCTAAAAACATGGTCCCCAGCTTGGCACTCCTGGGAGGCCATGGAACTAGAGGTGAGGCCTAGGGGAAGGTCTTCCAGTTGCTGCAGGTATGCCCTCAAGGGGAGAGTGGGGCCTCAGCCTCTTCCTGTTTCTCTTTTGAATCCCAGTCCTGGATAAGCAACTTTTCTCCACCAAAGGGTCCCCACTATAATGTGCTGCCTTGCCCCAGACCCAAAAGGAATGAGCAATAGACTAAAGCCTCTAAAACTGAAAACCAAAATAAATATTTTCTCTTTAAAAACTGATTATTCTGGGGTATGTATTACAGTAATGAAAAGCTGACTAACACATAAGGCATGTGAAAGAAACTGGGAACTTGTGAACTGAGCAAAAGAGAGAACTAAGACATGTTTTGGAGCTAGGACTTTCTCATAAAGGTGATAAAAAGTAACCAAAGGGATTGAAGCAAAGAAGTGGCACAAACTTATACAGTTCAACCTTGCACACATAAATAGCAAACTTGAGAGTCAAGTCTGGAAGAAGGTATAAGAAACACATTGCTTCTATTCAGAAAAGCAATAATGACAAAAAATAAATGTAGTAAACACAATTAAACACATTCACTGTTTACTACTCACTATTGCTTGGGCACTGTGAAAAGTGCTTTATCCTCATTGTCCCACTTAATCTTCAAAATTCTATAGAGTCAGTACTATTCCATTTCATGGATAAGGAAACTGAGACAGAGACAGATTAAATAACTTGCCTAAGGTTATATAGTAGGTAAGAAAGACAATACCCTAGCCAAGCAGCCTAACTRCAGAGCCTGGACTCAAAGCTTCTGTGGTTTGAGCAACAGACAGATTCAAGACTCAGTTATAACCAGGCACAGTGGCACACACCTGTGATTCCAGCTACTTGGAAATCTAAAGCAGAGGACTGCAAGTTGGAGGCCAGCCTCCACAGCTTAGCAAGACCTGCCTCAAGATAAAAAAGGGCTGGGATGTAGCTCAGTGATAAAGCACCCGTGGGTTCAGTCCCCAGTACAAACACAAACACACACACACACACACACACACACACACACACACACACACACAAAGACTAACTTATAAGGTAAAATTCAGCTGTACTCTATGATTCCTTTGGAAGCAGAAGGTGAGGTGACAAAAAATACCTGGCTTGAATGACAAACAATTAGACTCAAACTATAAAAGTCCTTGAAGACCACCCAGGCACAGCAAATGGTAAAAATTTCTTCTCCACCATATCTAACAAGAATCACCTAGCCTGTGGTTGACAGGACAACATGGATATAGGTTGAGCCCAGCTTTACCTCCTGCAACCATATTTCCACTGAACTAAAATATGTACAGTTGAAAGATCTTCTGGGACCTTATCCATTGATTTTATACTGTGATACACATAATTCTAGAATTCTCCCAAGTGCTTCAGGGCTATTCTAGGCTGGGATTCTGCCTCCCCTCTCCTGCTTTAACCATGCAGTACCAATTTTGTAATATGTTGATAGTCCTTTTAAGATTTCATTTGAAAAAGAGTAAAAAATATTTTTAGGGCTTCATACTCACTGGTCCAGACCAATAATCCCATATCATGGCAAAGGAATCYGAGTTGGTCACGGTCACAAAGACAAGTCGTCACACAGCAAAATAATCTTTCAAATACTAAGAACAGTCCCTTGCTCTCTGAAATCTTTCATTTTTGTTGTTTTTTATATAAAAATATACTTTTTTCACAGATTTTGRATTGGAAAGTACAGTTCATTCATTTCAGTTTTCCCATCAGCTCTAGCTACTAATCTAACACTATTACCCTGACTCTCTATCTTAGGGTTGATATCTAGTGGAAGATAATTTACATAATGTATTAATCATTAACTTCTTACCACCATCTACAAGCTCATGGTAACAACAAAGTTACAGCAAGAGGTCTAAACTAACTGGTGCGACTTAAGATCACAGGTATTCCAGGTGACATTATTATTTATGACAGTACTTACGAAAGCAACTCAAAATCAATTTAATTAAAATGTAAGTTCTGGCTTGGAGTCCTCCAACTCCCATTCTTCCATTTCCACAGCTTGTGACATAAATCTTCTGATTAAAGTCTATGACTGATCATGAGAGGAAAAAAAAAAGACTCAACACTTAGGAGGACTGGAGACTCACGCATTTCTATGAACAGCTGCCTCTTCTCTGCCACGGTCTTCCGCTTGTTCCCACCTTCCTCAATCATCCTAGAAACAAAGAAAGACACAATAAGCCACTGTATAATTGAACAATTAGAACAAGTGCACATCATTCTGTTGTGAAGRGTTACAGGAAACCAGGCTGAATGTGTACATTTTAAGACCGAATCAATAAAAATAAAGTGGGAGCCTGATGTATGAAAAGATAAACCATTGTCACTTTGAGAACTTCTAAAATATTAAACAGCCAATACTTAAATCAGTTTATAAACATGATGAAAATATGAGGTTATGCCTTATTTCTAACTTAACTATTTTCTCTGTAGAGTCCTGCATCAGCTGAGACATTGTGTCCCATATCACCACTRTTTTGCATAAACATGTTACTAAAAATAATTTAGAAAATAATATAATGAAAGGCTATAATAAAGAACATAACAATCCATCTATACTTAAAAGACATACATAAAAACATTGTTTGTATGTTAAACAATATTAAACAAAAAAGGTATTCATTCCCAAACCCAAAGAGCTCCTAAATATAACTTTTCTATTACATAATAATAGCAGTTTATGTTGACAGATTCAGGCTATGCCAGACACTTGTTAAATCTCTTTACATGCACTGAGCTACACAAGTTGGTGCATGACTGTGGTTCCAGCTACTCAGGAGGCTGAGATGGGAGGATCACTTGAGCCCAAGAATTGGAGGTTACCCTAGGCAACACAGTGAGACTCGAAACCTCTGTGACATTTACTCCAGTCTGTGGTTGACTGAGCTACATCCCCATCACTTTTAATTCTTTATTTTGAGACACAGCCTAAGTTGTCCAGGATGGTCTTGTGATCCTCCTGCCTCCGACTCCTGAGTAGCTGGGATTATAGGCATGCACTACTGCACTCAGCTGCAAATGAAAGTTTTATTGGAACACAGTCACAATAATCCATTTCTATATGGTCCAAGGCTGCTTTCATGATGCAACAGCAGACTGGAGTAAATGTCACAGAGAGCATTTGTGTCACAGAGAACATTTGGCCTTCCAAGTCTAAAATACCATTGTCTGTCCTTTTACAAAAAAAAAAAAAAAAAGTTTGCCAACCTGACCTACAGCAATAATAATTAACACCAAATTACTGCACATCTGGCTATAATTAAGTTACTATATCTCCACTGTCACAATGACAACAATCATCCCACAATGCTCCACAAAGTAAGATTCACTCCTCACTGCTAAAATAGCATTCGAATTATTCAAACTCCACTAACCATTCACTGGACAAATATTTATTGAGTAGTTCTTATGTGGCATTTGTATAAATGAAAGACAAAGTCCTCACCTGCATGGAGTTTGCATTCATGTGAGAGGATTAAATAAAGTAATTCATTAGACAGCACCTGGCCTAAACAGGCACAGGTTGAAGGCTAGCTGCTATTATTATTACAATTATTATTACCACTACACAGGTAATTTATAAATCTAGTGTGGGAGCATCTCATTTGTAATTAATGAGAAATGAAATTTGATTCTTTTAAGAAAGTTTTTGGCTTCTAAAACTAATAAAGCAGAAAATAGACACTTCTGAAATTTACTTATCTGAATTGACAAAATATATCTTTAATCACACAATTATCACAAACCTGAATCAAATAACACATAAAAATATCCTTCAAAGGGATACCATATGAAATGGTCATATCACATCTATAAGGAACAAATATTGTTAAAAACACCTGTTCTATTGCCTAGTGTGCTTGAGGCCCTAGGTTTGATCCCCAGCATGCAAAAACAAACAAACAAACAAACATCTGTTACATAAAATGGGCTTTAATTTTGTTACTGTTTTGAAACTACCTAGTTGAAAAATTACAAATTCAACTAAGTATATGCTCTCAGCTGAGGCAGGCAGGAAGAAGACACAAAGGGAAGAGTAGGGGGAGGGGAAAGGAAGAGGGAACACTCCTTCAAGATGGGCAATTACACCGCTGTCCCTTCTGCAAACTGCACTTCACCACTGAGTCGCAGTTCCCTCTGGCCTCCAAGGTAAACACCCCCAGGCTGTGTAATGATAAGTGCTTTTCTTTCTTCAAAAAGAGGCCCTGAACAAAAGCCAACTGCTGGGCCTGATGATCAACTTCAGAAGTAACCATTTCCAACAGGAAGAAAAAACCTGGCCATGCTGGACTTACCGACAGAACTCTAGGTTAACCTCCACCATGATATCTTYGTTAAGAAAATTTCAAAAAAGTATTTTCATGCATATTAGATTTTCCTCTTACTGATTTCAGAAAAAAATAACTCCAAGTAAGAGTTGACTCTATGAAAAATAATTAAACACTATTCAACTACAGAGATACTCCTGATACTCCCACTTCAGAAACAAGGCATCAAATGTTTTAATTACTTTAGAAAATTATACTYTTGTGATGATTTTCTGTATGGTATRTAAAACTATTCATAGTATTTAAAAATCCTCAGGCTGGGGTTGTGACTCAGCTCGCCTAGGTAGAGTGCTCTTCTAACTCGTGCGAGGCTCTGGGTTCAATCCTCAGCACCACATAAAAATAAGTAAATAAATAAAGGTTTTGTGTCCAACAACTAAAAATAAATATCTTTTTAAAAATCCACTAAATTTGGCCTATAACGTAAAACTACAATTAGTTCTTTTAAAAATAATTATTAAGGGCTGCAGCTGTAGCTCAGTGGTAGAGCGCTTGCCTAGCATGTCGAGGCCCTGGGTTTGATCCTCAGCACCACATAAAAATAAATAAATAAAATAAAATAAAGGTACTGTGTCCAACTACAACTAAAAAATAAATATAAATAATAATTATTAGTAGTAGTA